CGCTGAGTTCCCTTCCCACCCTCCCTCCGCTGGACCCCAGAGCCTCCTCAGTATCAGCCCGGCATGCTCCCTAAGCTTCTAAACGCTGCCCTCAAGACACACACCCGTCCCCAGACACTCTGGGACACCCCTTCTATGGCCGCCCCCAACCTGAGCGGTATACCCTTGTCTCTGGCTGCCAGGCTCCTCCAAGCATGCAGCTAGACTCTTCTAGCGTTTTCGGAAGGAAGTACTCTCCTGAGGAAGTTAAAGTGGGCTGGGCAGGACCAGGAAGGTTCTCACTTTTTTGTTGTTAATCTTTGTTTCTGAGATAGTCTCACCATGTAGCCCAGGCTGATTGAAAACTCTTGTTACGTCTCCTGACCCAGACACCAGTGTGTGTGCCACGACACCCAGCCAGACACAGGTGTGTGTCTGTGTGTGCACATGTGTGTATATGTGTGTGTGTGTGTTGTGTGTGTCTGTGTGTACGTGTATGTATGTATGCATGTATTGTGCTGTGTATGTGTTGTGTATGTAGATTTGTGTGTGCATGTGTGTGCTATGTGTATGTGTGTTGCATATGTGTGCTTATGTATGTGTGTGTACATGTATGTGTGTGTGCGCATGTACTCAGGGAGGTCAGGAGGTAAACTGTAGGAGTCACGGTTCCCCACCATGTGTGTTCCAACGATCAAACATACAGGCTTAGCAGCAAGCACCTTTACCAGCTGAGTCACATCAGATACCACGCTAGTGACCTGTGGCCCCTGGAAAATAAGGGTCCTTAACCCTGGCTACAGACTGCACGTGGGATGGAGCCACTGGAACTCATTGCCATTGCCATGGTCTAGAATTCCCCTTGTCCCTGAACTCAAGACATGTGGCCAGAGGCAGGCTGTAGTGCACTTTATTCACAAGACCCATGAGACCACACGGCCGCCTGTCTTGCCCACAGCCAGGGGCCTAGACACCAGGCCAGTGTAAAGAGTAAGCCCTTGAAGAACGGCGTGAAGTGTCCCTGGAGATGTTCCACGGGCTTCTTGTTCCCAACAGAACATCTGTGGTGAGGCAGCTTCGGGTATAATGTCCCCTCCATGTGGCCTGGACCATCTTGGCAGCAGACTGCTGCTGGCTGAGCTGGCGGCGGATCCTGTAGCCTTTCCAGGCTGCCTGGATGAGGGTGGCTGCTCTGTGCTGCTGGCTGAGCAGGGCACAGTGCTGGGATGATGAAGCCCAACGAGAACCAGACTGGCTTGAGACACCCTGGCCAAAGCCTTGTACCACCCGAGTAGACAGTGTGTGGCCACACACATGGCAGGTGCGTGGCTGGGACCCCACAAGCATCACGACACTGGGAGGACTCTCTACCCGGGGACCCAAGGACTGGCAGACACTGCAGACATCAGGCTGACAGGACAGGAAGCAGCGATGCTCAGAGGTGTTCCTGGTGTCAGAGCTTCCCTGGGCTCTGCCACTGTGCTCCCGCCATGTGGTAGGGAGCAAAAGCTGGTGGGCCCTGTCCCGGCGAATGCAGTAGCCGCGCCAAGCAGCCTGGATGACGGTGGTGGCCCTGAGAAGCCTTGCCAGGTTCCGTCGCACACGGTAGCCACGCCATGTAGCTTGGATGATGGTGGCCCACTGATGCCACACCTTCACTGTGCGGCGCACAAAATAACCACGTGCACATGCCTGGATGGTGATGACAGCCTGAACGACAACCTTCTCCATGGCGCGCACTGATACCAGCAACTCAGCTGAGGGCTTGTGGTCCAGCGCTGCCTCTGCCCCGGATGGGTCCCATGGCCTGTGGCCTCTGCTAGGACGCCATGTGGCTTGGGATGCCCCAGTACGTGCTGTGGCTCTGACCGATACGTTGGGGACTTTGGAATTCCTTGACTGGCCAGCAGCCAGGCCGGCATCCACAGGGCCCTGGGGTACAGTAGGGGGTGGGGATATCTGATTATGGCCAGTCTTAGGGTGTGTAAAAAGATGGGGTTTGTGGCCGTGGGGTGTAGTGTACACCTGGGAAACCCTACCAAAGCCAGTTTTGAGGTCTGTGGCATGATTGAGTTTCTGGCCATGGGGTGTGGTAGGGACCTGGGAACTCCCATCAAGGCTTCTTTTAGGCATCGTGACATGTTGAAGTCTGTGGCCATAGAGCATGGTGGGGACTCTTCGGGGACCCTCATCCAAACTAGTTTTAGGGACTGAGACATGCTGATGTTTGTGGCCGGGGCCGTGAGGTGCAGTGTGGATTCGGGAGCCTCCATCATAGCCGGTTTCAGGACCTAGTTGTGTGGTGAGGGACAGCACTGTTCTTGGCTGGCCAGTGTATCTGGTGTCGTGGACAGGCTCAACAAGAAGGGGTCTCTGGGAGCCGTTTGGTGATGACTCATAGGCCAGAGATAACCCTCGAACTCCTGAGGGTGCTGTCTGTCCCCTCCCACCTCCCAAGTGGATGGTGGGAGTGATGCCCACTGTGGGTGTCCCTGAGGACTGCTTGCGACTGTCCGTTGAGACCTGAGATAGCGGCTTCAGTGGACGACTGAAGGGCAGCAGTCTGTCCATGGAACCTTCTAGAAGTTCTGAGACAAGGCTGCCTTGAATGGAGCGGTAGGGCTTTTTAGCAGTGAGGAGCTCTTGATAGTTACTCTCGGTGTGGTTCTGAGGTTTTTCCTCCAACGCCAGAGACAGCTTGGCTGTTCCAGCAATGTCAGGACTCAGCTGTGGTGGCACTGTGACTGCACTGGAAGCTGGAGGTCGGCTTGAACTGCCAGCCACAGGGTCCTCCTGCAGGCTTGGAAACCCAGGAGCAGGGTGGAGGCTGGGGGCACTACCATTGCTTTCTGAGAATAAGGGCTGAACAGGAGTGATGCTATTGGCTGCAGGGTGTTCACCTAAACTTGGGGCTTGTACAAGCACAGGAGTGACACAACTGGCTTGGCTGGGAGCCTCCTCCACCAAGAAGGTCACTTTGTTTTTGAGAATATTTTTAACTGCTAGGGTCCCCTGTTCATCCTTCTCACCTCCCATGGCACTGAGACCTGTCCATGGGATGATCTTAAGGCCTTCAGACTTGACAGGGTCTATGCCAGACTCCAGTGTTGAGGACACTGTGTCATCCATTTGTCTTGGTTTCAACAAGGTGGGGTTATCAACACCAACAAGCTTTGTCAGCCCAGAGTCTTGGCTTAATTGTGAGGCACTTGGCAAAACTGAAACTGTGGGCAAGTGTTGTCGGTCCTGGGCCACTCTCTGGACTTCTGGGGCTGATGAGTGGGCATTAGCCAGGCTGCTTAAATGGGGTGCCAGGAAGGGGACCCGGGACCCCTTCCCAGACTGTGCTGCCTGATAGGGACGTGGACTGAGCCCTACCAGCATGGACCCTGGAGCCCCGCTACTTGCCACAGAACCCATAGGCATGCTAGGACCTGTCCCGCTGGCCACAAAACCTGGACGTGGGCCTGGGGAATGGGATCTTGGCAAGGATTCTACAGGTGGGCTCAGCTTCTTCTTACCCTCACCAGTCTCTTGAGGGTGACTGGGAGCCACCATGCTGGCCATAGAACCTAGAGGGAGGCTGAGGGCCTCGTCACGGGCCACAGGATCTTGGTGAGGGGCCATTGCTTCTGGAGATAGGTTCTGAGCCTTGACACACACCATGGACTCTGGGGGGACACTCTGAGCTACACCACCCACCTTGGGCTCTGAGGGGACCCTCTGGGCCACACTATCTACCATGGATTCTAGGGGGACACTCTTGGTCATGCTATCCACTATGGATTCTGGGAGGAAACTTGGGGCCACACCATCCACCATGGACTCTAGGTGGACACTCTGGGCCACGCCACCCACCACAAACTCTGAGGGGCTACTCTGGGCCACGCCATCCACCATGGACTTTGGGGAGACACTCTGGGCCACGCCACCCACCACAAACTCTGAGGGGCTACTCTGGGTCACGCCATCCACCATGGACTTTGGGGGGACACTCTTGGCCATGCCATCCACCACAGACTCTGGGGGGACACTCTGAGCCACGCCACCCACCACAAACTCTGAGGGGCTACTCTGGGCCACGCCATCCACCATGGACTTTGGGGAGACACTCTGGGCCACGCCACCCACCACAAACTCTGAGGGGCTACTCCGGGCCACACCATCCACCACGGACTCTGGGGGAACATTCTTTCCTATGCCCCTGATCACAGATCCTTGAGGAAGGTTGAGAGTCTCACTTTCAACCACAAGTTTGGGCACCAGTACCGAGGGCATTTTTCCATCTATAGAACCCTGAACCAAACCTCTACCCACAGAACCCACTGCTGCACCTGGAATGACCATACCTGCATATCGGCAACTGGGTGGGACCATGGTGGCCACAGAGAGGAGCTGGGGCTCTAATGTAACAGGAAGAGGGGCATAGGTCTGAGGGATGCTGGTGCCCAGCTGGTTTGGAAAGAACTCAGATGGGACCTGTATACTGGGTATCACAGCTGGGCATGGGCCCTGGCCTACACCTGTAGTCACAACAGCCTGTTCTTGAGTCCAGGGGACATCTGCTGGTAAGGTCCAGGCAGCCATGGGGGTTGGGTTAGGCCCCTGACACATGCTTAGGAACAGTCCAGTAGCCACAGGCCCCTGGGGTGTCCCTGGAACTACGCCCCTGAACCAATTCTGACATGGGACACTGGCCCCTAAGACCAGGCCGCCATCCTCTGCAGGTGCCATGGACTGAGCCACAGGACCTGGGGGCCCCCTGCTGACCTGTTTTGGCTCAGAGTGGACAGTGGGATCCCGAGGGCTGGACTGGGTCCCGGTACCTATCATGAATTTGTCCCCTGGGCTGCCGCAGACTCCTAGAGATGGCTGGCCTGTCCTGCTCATCACATCTGGGCAGGACCCACCTAGGGTGAGCATGGAGGGCTGGCTCTGCCGATAGTGTGAAGATGTACTGCTGTCCTCAGCAAGCTGCTGAGGGCCCAAAGCTGGCTTGCTGATGCCTCGCCCCACACCACACACCACAGTGGGTGGCAACAAGCTCAGAGCTCCCAAGGTGGCCACAGATGGCTGGGCAAGATTAGAGCATACCCTGGGAGCCAGAAGTGGGGAGGTCAGACTGGGGGGCACCCTGTTGGACAGGGACAGGGGCGCCTGGAGCACTCCAGGGACCACAGTGCTGGTTGTGGTTGGCTGGCTGAGGTTTGGGGATGTCCCGTTAGCCATAGATGCATGGGCCAGGGTTGGGGACATAACACCTACCACAAAAGGCTGGGCTAGGCTTGGAGACACGCTGGGGGGCACAGACGGCTGCACAAAGTTTGGGGTTACAAGTGTAGCCATGCAAGGTTGGGTGAAATTTGATGCCATGCTGTAGGGTACAAATGGTTGGAAAAAGTTAGGGGACGCCCCGGTGGCTACAGATGTCTGAACTGAGTCTGGGTGCCCTGAACCCTGTGTGGGCATGGAAGAGCAGCCAGGTGGCGGCCAGCTGTTCACAGGGGCTACATGGGTAGTGGCACATGGCTGGACCTGGCTAGAAGTTAACCCCGTGTTCACTGCCTGGTTGCTTAAGGCCAACACACTAGCACCAGGATTCTGGGTAAAGTTTGAGGGATCCCCAGAAGCAATATGTGGCTGGGTATAGACTGGGGACCCTCCATAGTACAGATATGGCTGACTAAAATCTGTAGGTAACCTATAATACATCAATGTTTCTGTCAGTGTTGGGGACATCCTGGTGTCCATGGATGGCTGGGCTAAAGTTGGGAGCACCCTAGTGGCCACAGATGGATGGGGCAGGCTTGGGGCCACCCCACTGTCCATGGATGGCTGGGCCAGGCTTGGCGACTCAGAACTGGTCCCTGCCGGCTGAGATGAGCTTGGACACAGTCCCTTGTCCTCTAATGGTTGGTGTGGGCATGGTGGTTCCTCACTGGTTTCAGGTGCCTGGCCAGGGCTTGGGGCTCCCTCATCAGCCAATACGTCCTGAGGTAGGGCAGAATCCAGCTGAGTGACCCCATTTGGCTGCAGGTCTCCAGCGTGGGCCTGACTCCTCCCATGCCAGGGTGCAGCCGTGTCCTCGGACAGTCCCTGCATGGGGTTCCCAGCGCTGTAGTCAGACCCACTATCTGCACTATCTGAGTCCCAGTGGACATTCACAGACAGGCTGGTGCTATGAAAGAAGACGGAGTCAAGCTCCAGGGGCGGCTGTTGGACCTGGGGGTCTGTGCTCTGAGAACCAGCCGACCATTGTGTTCCCAGCTGCCCCTGCGGCCTGTGCCTTGTCTTCCTGGACTCTTTCAACACTGGCTGGGAGTCCTCCTGCAAGTCCTTGCAACCTCCCAGAGCCTCTGAAGGCGTCAGGCTGGATCGTGTGGAGAGACAGGCTGAGGTGCCACTCTGCAGGGAACTGTGAGAACCAGCGCTGCTCTGGCAGTGGGTATCTGAACCCCTGGGATAGCGCTTGGCTAACACGATCTGTGGGTGCTGTGGGAATGTGGCTAGTAACTCATCCAGAAGGGACATGTGGCGGCCAGTGGCCTGACCCCAGGGACAGGATGGGGACAAGGACACTTGGGGACGTCTCTCCTGTTTTGGGGTGGACATGAGGGAACCTTTTTGCAACTTGGGAGTTAGGTACATTGGTGATGACTTGTCGTCACGCTGTTCATCTATAATGTCCCTCACTACGGTGACCATTTCCTTATCACCCAGCGGTGATACCAGTCTGTGACCCGATGGTAGGATCTGCCTAATTGTCTGCTTGGGCGATGGGCTGAGACTCTTGATTATGGAAGAGCAATGGCAACAGGGAGACATCTTGTGTACCCCCAGCTTCCCACACTGACACACATGGCCCTGGCAGGGGTTGGAGGACTGCCGGGACATGGGGTACCTCCCCCCACCCATGCCACTTGAATGCTTTCTGGCTGCCATGTTGCCCTCTCGGTATGACGCCCAGGGGTAGGACACCCTGCTGGCCACTGGTGGCTGGTGGGAGCTTGGGGCTGTGCTACTAGTCACTGGTGGCTGGTTACTGCTTGGGCCTGCACCATTGGTGACAAGTGGCTGCCACGGACAAGGACATGGCTGTTGGGAAGGTCTCTTGGGGACATGGGGACCCTCACCACATGCCATGGGGTCAAGATCCAATGGTCTCAGATACAGACCAGAACAGAGTCCTGTACCCCTCTCCCAGGACAGTGTGGGTACTGTGATTAGGGGACACTTGTAAGTGCTGGTGACCATCCCTCCAGAAAAGGAGCCTATGGGGGACTGTGGCAAGCAGGGTGACCCCTCCAAGGTGTCCCCATCCCCTTTCCCCCACAGGATCCCATCGGGCAAGCCCTTCCATGGTGGCCTGACCTTGCTACACCGTGCTCTTACGGGGCCCAGTGCAGGTCCCCATGCCAGCGACAGGCTCCCGCTGCAAGTCACCTCCATTGGGGTAGGCGCCGTGGTCATCCGGCTTCCCACCGTTTTCGAGGTGGCTTTGGGGAGGAAGGCGCCTGTCCTCTGGGCCATCTGGGCCAAGGACTGAGTGAAAACAGCACCCAGCTCTCCCTGGCACAGCGCCTGGCTGAGCGTGGCCCTCTCATCTTCTGTCAAGGCCTTGCACAGGACCTCAGCCAGCTTGCCCTGTGTGGCCTTGCTGAGTTCTGGACGCAGCTCACCACGGGACAGGGCTCGGGACAGGTAGATGCCCAGCTCACCCCATGACAGTGCCTTCATCAATGCCATTCCCAGCATGCCTTGAGGCAGGGCCTTGACCACAGAGGGGCCCAAGACTTCCCGGGACAGAGCCTGGCTGAGCGCTGTCCTTACTTCCCCTTGAGAAAGTGTCTTGGCCAGGAGTGTCCGCAGCTCCTCAGGGGAGCCCAGCATGGTCACCAGGTCTGCACACAGGGATGCAATGGATGCCGCGAGGTCTTCATGGCAGGACACTGCCTGGCTTGGCATAGGGGGAGGAGGTGGGGTTCGCGCCCGTCCAATGTCACCCCAGGATTCTGTATTGCACACAGAGTGTCCAGAGGGAGTCAGTAGGGGTACCAGCATGCTTTGGGTATCTGTGGCCATTGAGCGTGGGTTCTGCGTGGCCTTGTTTTGTGCATGGCTATGGAGCTGGGGCTGGGTCACACTTCTGTCATCTGGCTTGGCACGGGGTCCAGTATTAAATGTCCCAAAATGTTGCCAGAACTGGACAGACGCCTTGGGTGTGCTCAGGAGTGGCTGCGACTGGGTCTTGCTACTGAGGTCAGTGGCAAGGTGAGCAGTCAAGAGGCACTTGGCCGTTTCGGGCGCCAGCTGGGCCTGAGACTGGGCCTTTGCCAGCCCCACAGGTAGATGGGCCTGTGATGGAGCCTTGGCCAGACACGTGATGAGCTGGGCCAGGGATGGAGCCTTGCTGAGTTTAGTGGGTGAACAGACCTGGCTCGTGACCTTGGTGGTTTTAGTGTTCGTGGTCTTTGTATGTTCAGCAGGTGGACGCAACTGCAGTGAGCTTTTCATCAGGTGAGAAGCCGTGTGGTGCTGGGAACTGGAGGTGAAGGGACACATGTTCGGGTATCCTTCAGGAGGGACGAAGGTCATCCCCAGGGAGCGTGCCTGTGAGGAGGTTGTGGCTGGACATGGCGTGGCAAGATGAGCTTGAGGCACAGACCTGGTTTGTTCACCAGCAGGTTGGAGCTGGGATGTGAGTGACATCAGGTGTGCAGCCAGTGGTGAGGAGGGCAGGGTGGCAGAGGAACCTACAGGTGGACGTCGTCCCTCGGATAGGCCGGTGACCAGCCTGGATGATGTGTGAGACTGCAACAGCGATTTAGAGAGGGGTGAGGGTGGCGGGGGTCGGGGGTGGCCGGGGGGTGGCCGGGCTGGGGAGGAGGCCTGGGTCAGGGGGACAGCCAGCTGGGCCTGGGACAGGGACACTATCACCTCTTCAGGCATGTACACCCTGGAGTGAACCTTCACAACTTCTGCCCTCTGCTGGATCTGAGTCAAGGGCTTACTCCTGTCTTCAGTCACTTTTGTCCAAGATAGAGCCCTGGTTACAATGGCCGCAGTAGTTTTGGGAGCTACTTCCTTCTTGGTGGCCCTTGGGGGCCCAGGCTTCATCTTTTCTCCTTCCAATGGAGACTTGGCTGGGGGTTTAGGAATCACAGTGTCTGGATGTCCATGGGGTCCACACCTGCCCTTCCCCTCGGCCAAGTAGGATTGAGAGGCCACCTTGATCACTGCGGTGGTGTGCTTGGTGCTCACGGTGACCTTGGTCTTTGGGCTGTTCAGGTGGACCTGGGATGGGGTATTGGGAATGCTAGCAACCGCCTGAGTTTGGGGTGAACTCCTGGGACTTGAGACTGACACTGTAGGGACCAGACACAGAGTCCTGAGCACAGCAGCCACAGAGCGTATCTGAGCTGGGGTTTTGGTTATCATAGCTGCCAGGCGAGTCTGAGGTGAGGGCTTGACTGTGGGGCTTGACTGGGAGAAGGTTTTGGATGAAGTAGGTGCTGTACATGTCTGAACTTGATTTCTGGTCACTGGACGCATCTGGGGTGAAGTCTTTGCCATCATGGGACCGTAGCCAGTCTGTAGAGGGCCCTTACTGACTGGAACCCCTGGGCGTGGTAAAGGTGAAGCCTTGGTTGTGGAGGTCACAGCATACCCTGGGGGCTGTGCTCTGGCCATGGGGGCCACAGATCGCACCTGTGGTGTGGTGCTAGAGGATGAATGATTGGGCCGCACATGAGCCAGGGGCCTGGTCACCAGAGAAGCTGGGCAGGTTGGTGATTGCATCTTCATGACTGTCACTGGGGACGTGGGACACGTCTGCAGTGTGCTTTTCGGAGCTGTGGTCACTGTGGCTGGGGGCTTAGGGGCAGAAGCTGCTGGACACACCTTAGCAGGGCTCTTGTTGACTGGATACATATGCGGTGGGGCCTTGGGGATATCTGCTTCAGTGTGGACCTGGGTCTTCAGGGATCCATGGATGGCCTGGCCATATCTCCCCAATGCTGCTGACTCTGGGACCCCTGATTTGATGGTCTTGGAAGCCACATTCTTGCTCTTCACGCTGTCACCTTCCAAGTGTCTGATGAGACAGGACTCCCTGACAGTCTTGGTCAACATGCAGGGCTGAATCTTGGGACCTGTGAGTCTGCCAGCCACAGACTGCTGTGGCAGGAGGCTACCCCTATGGACTCTGCTGGCACAGGGACCTGGGGCTGCTGTGGTGTGAAAAGGGACTAGGTTGTCGGAGGATGGGAACTGAGTCTCTTTGCTCACCATGATTGGCAGTTGGTCCTCTGGGGCATGAAAGCGAACCTGCTGTGGGGGATGGTAGGGGATGTCACCCTCCTCCTCCCTCTTAACTTTCTTTACAGTCAGCTTGTTGGAGCGCATCAGCCTGCGAGTGCTGAAGCGACGCCAGGCCTCCTGGATGGCCTTGGCTGCTGTCATCTGTGAGATAAGCTTCTGCCGCAGCCGGTAGCCCTTCCAGTTGGCTTGGATGACCGTGGCTGCCCGGGAGACCATCATGTCCATTTCATCCACCAGGATGTTCTTGAAGGCCTGGCTCTCCACCACAGCCCGCAGGCGGGGCACCTGCCGTGACGGTGGTGCTGCTGGATCATTGGGTGCACAGGAATCACACTGAGTCTGAGGATATGGCTGGGCCACTTTCTCTTGATGAATAGAGGTTGTCTGGGGCTGAGGGAGGCACGGTCCACTCGGTGACATGATGTTTGGGAACTGGAGTGGAGCTGCTGGCTGCATTGTTGCCATTCCTGAGCAGGGTGGCAGAGCCTGGGGTGGGTAATAGGATAGAGTTTGATGGGTAGAGGAGATGGACAGACAGAGAGACAGACAGGCACACAGATGAGGGCTGCATAGATGGGTGGATGGATGGAGAGCGGGCAGGGTGTGTGTGTGGAGGGGGTGGTAGAAGGATGGCTAGGTGGACAGCAGGTGAGTGGTGCTGACACACTGTGTGGGTGGATCACTGTGGGGAAGACTGAGAAGCACAATCTGCACATATATGTGGGTTTCCACAGGACAACAGGTGTAGAGAATGGGACAATACCCAGCGGCCCTTAGACCTATAACTTTGGCGCGCTGTGCCTGTTTGGCAGAGGCACTCCTCAGGGCAGGCCTAGCCATTCTCTTACCTTGGAGGGGCATAGAGTTGTTAAAGGAGCAGAAGAAGGTGTAATCCTGGAAGCCGGCCTATAAAGAAGAGGCTGTCCAGTTCTTCATTCCAAAATATGTGCACAGCAGCGCTCTGGTCTGGTTCTGTTAGAAATACCAATGGGAGGAAGAATATGGGCTCAGGCCTGGCAGGATGGAGTGGGGAGGACAGAGCAAGAAGGACCATAGCAGAGCAGGACAGGAGGCAGACTGGAGGGCACCCTACAGGAGTGACTCAGGGCCCTGGGACAAGACAAAAGACACTTTACAGGAAGGGGTTCCTGGGACGTACTTGGTAGTTAACACCTGCATTTATATAACAGGGATCACGAGGATCCCTAGGAATTAGGGGAGGCGAAGGGGTCCTTGTCTTTATTGTCTAGAAGGGTGAGAACAGAGCCACACATCGGGGACACACACACAGTACACCACACCATCCAGCAAGAAGAGCAGCCACAGCAGCAAGATGACTCAGTGTAGGAAGTGGCTGTGGCCAAGGTGGATGACCCAAGCTCAATCAAGCCCCTGAACCTGCAGAGTGGGGAGATAACCAATGCCTGCAAGTTATCTTCTGCCTTCTGCACGTGTACCTGGCACACACGCCCCATACACAATATGTCAATTTAAAAAATTAGGCCAGAGGCTGGAGAGATGACTCAGTGGTTAGCAGCACTTATGTATCTTGTGGAGGACTTGGGTTTGGTTCCCAGCACCTACATGACAATTCACAACTGTCTGAAACCAGTCTCAGAAAATATGACACCCTCTTCTGGCCTCAACAGGCACCAGGCACACATGTGGGAGACAGATATACATGTAGGCAAAGCATCTATACACTTAAAAAAGGGAAAACAAAACACAACAAAAAAACTGGAACAGTACTGGTAACACACATCTTTAGAACCAGCACCCAGAAGACAGAGGCAGATGCATCTCTGCAAGTTTAAGACCAGCCTGGTCTACAGATGATGATAGTCAAATGATCCTAATTTAATTTTAATACTAAATATTCACCTTTTACATTTTTATTTATTGTTTGTTGTTTGTTGTTTGTTTGTTTTGGTTTGGCTTTTCGAGACAGGGTTTCTCTGTGTAGCTTTGGAGCCTATCCTGGCACTTGCTCTGGGGACCAGGCTGGCCTCGAACTCACAGAGATCCGCCTGCCTCTGCCTCCCGAGTGCTGGAATTAAAGGCGTACGCCACCAACGCCCGGCTGGTTATAACTTTTTTAAAGTATTCTTTTACATTTGTATCTGTTAATGTGCATGTGTGATGTGTGCATGCTTCAGTTACAGGCATCAATTGCTCAGGTTGTTCTGTGAATGCTGGGACCTGGGCTGGTTTTCATGACTGAGGAGCAATTTCTCTTAATCACTGAGCCGTCCCCATAACAACACCCTGTCTTCTGTTGTTTTAGTTTTTACAATTTATTTCATATATATGAGTGTTTTCCCTGTGTGTGTGTCTGTGCACTGTGTGTGTGCAGTGCCTGTGGAGACCAGAAGAGGGCATCAGATGCCCAGGGTGGGGGTTAGAGATGGCGGTAACACCCTGTGTGGGTGCTGGGAATCAAACCTGGGTCCTCTGGGAAAGCAGTCAGTGCTCTTAGCTGCTGAGTTGTCGCTCCAGCCCATTTTATCATTTGATATCATTAAAGAATATTTTTTTTCTTCTTTTTTTTTGGTTTTTCAAGACAGGGTTTCTCTGTGTAGCTTTGGAGCCTATCCTGGCACTCACTCTGGAGACCAGGCTGGCCTCCAACTCACAGAGATCCGCCTGCCTCTGTCTCCCGAGTGCTGGGATTAAAGGTGTGCGCCACCAACGCCTGGCCCAAGAATATTTTTAGTGTTATTTATGTATGTGTCCTGGATAGTTTATGTCCACTTGACACAAGCTTAAGACCTTAGAGAAGAGGGAGCTGCAACTGAGAAAATATCCCATGAGATCAAGCTGTGGACATTTTCTTTCTTTGTTTTAATTAATTTTTCTTTAATTTTATGTACATAGGTGTTCTGCCTGCAGGTATATCTGTGATGAGGGCATTGGAGCCCCTGGAACAGGAGTTACAGACAGTTGTGGGCAGCCATGTGGGTGCTGGGAATTGAACACGGGTCTTCTGGAAGAGCAGTCAGTGCTCTTATCCACTGAGCCATCTCTCCAGCCCTTGGCATTTTCTTAATTAGTGATTGATGGTGGAGTGGGACATTCCTGGGCTGGTGGTCCTAGGTGCTGTAAGCAAGCTATAAGGAGCACACCAGTAAGCATTTCCCCTGCATGGCCTCTGCATCAGTTCCTGCCTCCAGGTCCTTCCCCTGTGTGAGTTCCTGTCCTGACTTCATCTATGATGGAAGCCTAAGCCAAACAGACCCTTTCCTCCACAGCTGCTTTGGTCATAGTGTTTATTGCAGCATAGAAACACTAAGACGATGCTTTGTGCATACATGTAGACCAGGCTGGCCTCAAACTCACAGAGATCTGCCTTCTTCTGCCTCCCAAGTGCTGGGGTTAAAGGAGTGTGCCACCATGTGTGGCTATAATTTTTTAAAAATATTCTTTTACATTTGGAAGAGTGAAGAGAACTAGAACCGGGGTCACCCCAGTTGTGTGCCACCAGCTGTGGGTGCTGGAACCACTCAGGTCCTCTGTAAGCAGCACTGAGCCCTCTCTCAAACCCCATGTGCACCACCATGTCAGCTGTAGAGGGGGCTTTCAAAGGCCTCTTTGTGACTATTAGAACAGACAGAGTGGGGACAGCACAGTGTTCCAGTACAGTGCTTGCTGCCGCACAAGCTCCTCATCTCATCCTGAGAACAGGAGTAAAAAAATGCCAGGTGTGTGGAGGCAGGTGTGTCTCAGTGAGTCTGGGGCCATCCTAGCCTAATGTCAAGTGTGTGGAAGCAGGTGTCTCAGTGAGTCCAAGGCCTGCCTGGGCTACAGAGCAAGCTCCAAGACAGCCCTGTCTCCAAAACAACAGAACAAACAAAGTTGTTGAGGTCCCTGTTTATAACCCAGTGCTGGAGAGGAGACTCAGGCAGGGTCCCTAGGACTGGCTGGCCGCCCTGCCTTGATAAACCAGTGAGCTGCAGGCCAGTGAGATTCTGTCTCAAAAAACAATAAGGGGCCAGGCATTTGGTGGTACACACCTTTGATCCCCCAACTTGGGAGGCAGAGGCCAGCAGATTTCTGTGAGTTTGAGCTCAGCCTGGCTGGCCAAAATAGTGGCACCCTGTCTGACAAAAGCAAGAGAAACTGAGTCAAAGAAGTGGGGTTACCTGTCCACGGTCACTACAGGATCCACAGCAGAACCTGGCTCACTGAGTTCAGTCAGCAGGGGTGACCACCAGCCCTCACCTTTGGGACAGATTCCAGGGGTGTCCTCAGTCCTGGAGTGGTCACAGTGCCCCCCAGGCCCTCAAGACACCCCTGGCTTCAACACCAAGCCAGCATAGGGTCAGCAACTGAGCCCCCATTCTGTGCACTCTACAACCCAAACTATCTTTGTCCAAACCCCAGAACACCCACCTGTGCAAGGGCAACAGTGAGATAACCCAAGCATAGGGGAGGGGCTGTCAGGAGGCTCACAATCAGTAATTGTCACCACAGCAGGTGACATGCATGTCACAACTGCACACTGGAAGGGGGTTAAATACTGAAACTGGGGAGCAGGAACTAGCATGTGGACTGGCACTCAAGTGGCAGCCTTGATGAATGTGTAAGGTTATATGTTCCATCTCTATCAACCCCAAAAATCAGGCATGCTGGTGTCTGAGGTAGAAGGATTGTTGTGAGTTCCAGGACAGCTTGGGCTACAAAGCTGGATGTGGTGGTGGCACACACCCTTCAGCCCAACACACAGGAGGTGGAAGAAATTCATGCCCAGCTGGGCAGTGGTGGCGCACGCCTTTAATCCCAGCACTCAGGAGACAGAGGCAGGTGTATCTCAGTGAGTTCAAGACCAGCCTGGTCTACAAGAGCTAATTCCAGGACAGCTCGGGCTACACAGTGAAACCCTGTCATGAAAAAAAGAAATTAATGCTCATCCTCATCTACACAGTGAATTCAAGGCTAGCCTGAGCTACATGAGACCCTATCTAAAAAAAAAAAAAGGCCTGCATGTGATCCAAGACCTGGTGAGAGTTCAGGAGGAGGAAATCAGTGGTGGGGGGTGAGGGCCCCCAGGGCAGGCTGGGGACAGTTGTGAGCACATCTAGAGCAGTGTTTTCCTGATGGTTACACAGGGCAAGCAGGTGCCCAAGAGACAAAGTACCATCAAAGCTTGGGGGACCCCATACTGTCTCCGAGGGGCTGTTACCACAACCCAGAGGACAGAGACATTGTTGGCAAGAGTGAAGTGACATACAAGTGGGACCCCACCAACCCACTCACCTGTCCCCAAAGCTGAAGCCACCAGCCCCTCTGGCCGGCATTGGGACCCTGGTACCCAAATGTCTTTATGACTCATGCCTGAGTTCCAACCAATCCCCAGCAGAGTGTGGGGAAGGTTCTAGAACATAGAAACCCCTGACAGCACGGGAGGCTCTGAGCTCTCCTGATGTCTACAACCTATGCCAAAACTTAGGGCTCAGCATAGAGGTGAC